AGGAAGGAAGGAAGGAAGGAAGGAAGGAAGGAAGGAAGGAAAAGAAGGAAGGAAGGAACGAAGGAAGGAAGGAAGGAAGGAGGGAGGGAGGGAGGGAGGGAAGAAGGAAGGAAGGAAGGAAGGAGGGAGGGAGGGAGGGAGGAAGGAAGGAAGGAAGAAAAAGAAAGTAAGTATTGGTAAGAATGTGGAGAAACTGGAACCCTCAAATACTGCTTGTGGGAACAGAAAATGGTTCAGTCATTTCATGGTTTAAAGGAGTCTGGCAGTTTCTCAAATGTTGAACATAAAATTGCCGTATGACTCTGTAATTCTACTCCTAGGTGTATGCCCAAATATGTGAAAACAGGTACTCAAACAGGTACTTATACAGCAATATCCAGAGCAACATTATTCACAGTATCCAAAAAGCAGAAACAGCTCAAATGTCTATCAATGGATAAATGGATAGACAAATTGTAGTATACAGATGATCCTCAACTCATATTGGAGTTATATCCTGATAAAATCATTGTAAATTGAATTTATCAAAAGTCAATAATGCATTTAATACATTAAACCAAACAAATGTCATAGCTTAGCCTAGCCTATCTTAAATGTGCTCAGCACACTTAAACAGTGGCCTCAGTTGGGCAAAATCATCTAATACAAAGCCTAGCTTATACTAAACATTGAATATCTCATGTAATTATTGAATACTACATTCAAAGTGAAAACCAGAAGGGCTGTATAGGTATGCAAAGTACAGTTTCTACTGAATGCATTATAATTTTTCCAACATCATAAAGTTGAAAAACCTAAAGTGATCCATTATAAGTCAGGGATCATTTGTATACACATAACAGAATATTATTCGGCCATAAAAAGAATGAAGTACTGATACATGCTACAATTTGGCAATCTGGATGAATATACAAAACAGTATGCTAAGTGAAAGAGGCCAGATATAAAAGGTCACATTATCATATGATTCTATTTATATAAAATATTCAGAATACATAAATTCCTACAGACAGGATAAATCCAGATTTGTGAATTTGGAGGCAGATTGGTGGTTGCTAGGGGCTGTAAGGAGGGAGAAGGATAGAGACAAACTGCCTACCAGGCAAGGGGTTTTACTTTCGGGTGAAAAAAATGTTTTGGAACTAGACAGAGGTGGTAGTTGCTCAATAATGTAAATGTACTAAATGCCACTAAATGTTCACCTTAAATGGTTAATTTTATGTTATGTGAATTTACCTCCACAAATTATTAAAACACAGACACATATATACTAACCGTAAGTTAAATGAATTAAATAACAAATAGGAGATATGTAACTAAGGCTAGGTGGCCATAAAATCTGCTAGGAAAATAAGGCTCATGTTCTTTGTCATGACAGAATTTGTGATTTTTTAAGACACAATAACCTGTGACTTTTATAAGCTGGCACCTCCTAAATCTGAAAACTGTGTAAAGGTAAGGAATAAAAAGACTTGAAGCTAGCTGCTATCATGTGATATTTAGAGATTACAATTAGTGTAGATGATGCTGTGGTGTGCCACCAGGATCTTCCCTTTAGGATGAAAATATTCACTTCCTAGCTGCCATGCAAGTTGCTTGCTGATGACTCCATAATGGCATCTCTCTCTTGAAATTTACCTTGGGTGGCTGTGTGTGCTTCTTCACCCAAATTTACACCCCTTCTCAGGGGCATATTCAATCACTTGTCAATATGGGACTACAATAATACATTTTATATATGGCAGTGCTATGTTCTAGGGACAAATCAATGAACAGGATGGCAATGATCTGTCCTTAGGACTCAGAGGTAGTTATATAAGTAATTAGAATTAAATACGCTAAGTGATGTGCTAGGAGAACACACAAATGCGATTTGACTTGACCTTGTGGCTTCCTAGAAAACATGACGTCTACTCTGAGGCTTGTTAAATGATACGAGTTAGGCAAATGAAGAGGGTGGGTTAAGACAGTTAGAGGTATAGAGAAGATCACATAAAAAGGCGTAAGGAGTACAGACTATATCTTACTGTTTAGTTTTGATACATTATCTTGTGCAGACCTCAGTTTCTTCATGTATAATTAGGGAAAATAATAGTTCTTACCTGATAGCATTATTGTGAAAATTAAGTGAAATGAGTTGGGTAAAGTGATAAGTATTGTATAATCCATTATTAATGCTATTATTATTGCCAAGACATGGACAAAAATAGTTATGGTAATAAAGTGCAGAACTAAAGCAGTCAGCATTGGAAAAGGCATACAATAGAGTCTTCAGAAGATGTTTTAAAGAAATTCAATCAATAAACTACCATGGTATGTTACAAGCAACGGGTATTATTGATTCTATCTTATAAAGAGAAAAGCAGAAGAAAAATAATACTTTCTTAAAATCATAAAGACCTTCAGTTTTACAATATAAAGGTAGGTAGCTTTAATGCCTAATACCTTCTTTCTACCAAACAATTCTACCTATCTCTCTGATGAGAATCATAAATAGTCTGGGAAAGATGGCAGTGACTTTCTGTAAATCATAAGAGAACATATTCAGGACTACTTCCTTTAAAAATGTTCTCTATGAGATTCCTTAAAGAACTAAAAGTAGAACTACCATACAATCCAGCAGTCTCACCACTGGGTATCTTTCCAAAGGAAAACAAGTTATTATGTGAAAAAGGCACATGCACACAAATGTTTATAGCAGCACAATTCTCAATTGCAAAGATAATGTAAACAATCTAAGTGCCCATAAACTAACGAATGAATAAAGAAAATGTGGTATATATACACCATGGTCTACTACTCAGCCATAAAAAGGAATGAAATAATGTCTTTTGCAGCAATTGGATGGAACTGGTGGCCATTATTCTAAGTGAAGTAACCCAGGAATGGAAAACCAAATATCATATGTTCTCACTATGAGACTGCAAAGTCATAAGAGTAGTATAATGGACTTTGGGGACTCAGGGGTGAGGGTGGTGAAGAAGGGGAGTGAGGGAAAAAAGAATACATATTGGGCTCAGTGTATACTGCTCAGGTGACAGGTGCACCAAAATCTCAGAAATCACCCATAAATAACTTACTCATGTAACCAAAACCTACCTGTACCCCCAAAACAATTGAAATAAAAAATAAATTAAAAAAATTTTCTATGAACACAGTTGCTTTTAAAGTGGATGGAAAAAATCCTAGAGCAAGAAAGTCTTGTTTTTCCCCACAGTCCGACTTAAACATAACTTTGCACGGTATTACTTTTCTCTTATTATTTATAAGCAGAAAGGAAAGGCTAAACATCAACCAAATAATTGACCCCAAATACAATAGATTTCAAGAGAAAATGTATATCATTTAGCCTGAATGTAGATTCTTTCAACAAGTAGTAAGCTTTTCTTTTTTTTTGACTGATGACATAATCCTAAATTTGTAATGATTTCAGTGTAACACTGGTAGGACTAACAGGTTTCCATGCAAAATCATCAGCTACAATTACAAAATACTTTTTTGTTTGTAATGAAAAGCAAAAGCAATACCAAAATACTTAGGTTAGTTGGACATATTAAAGATTGTATCACCAACTGTACTGGCAATGAAATATTAGAAAGAGTAGAAAGTTTCTCAGTCATTTCCTACCTGCTGGCCATATTCCACTCGAGGGCTGGATTTTGAGAATTCCTTTCACTCTCTGTTAGCACCCCTCCTGTGCCACTTTCTTTTTCTGGTTTTAGTTGATCCCACTGTGCAGTACCAATACTGATGGACTGCAGGTCTATTTGGTATTGTCTGTCTTCAATTTCTGATCCAGGATCTCGAAGAATTCCTAAGTTCAAGGCTCTCCTGTAAAGGCAGTTAAAAAAAAAAAAGAGATAAAATAAACATATTATGTTTATCTTGTTCACTAACATAATGTCAACACCATTTTTTTTTCCTTTGGATTACTGATGAATAAACTGGGGCACATCTATGAAAAAGGTTTCAGGAAGTTAGTACATATTATGACTTGAAAACATATCCAAAATTTATCATTTACAGTAATCTACACTATAATGATTTCTTATGTTATTCCTGGCACCATACTCTTTTTCTAAGTACTTTCACATACATGATTTCAATCCCTGAGATGCTCTGAGGTTCTATTTTTATGTCAATTTTTACCAATGAGAAAATAATTCAGAGGTTGAAAGACAGCTGAAGTTACAAAACCTTATGTGACAAAACTACAACACAAATTCAGTTTTTTTTGTGTTTGTTTTTTACTCAAAACTCTATCCCTTGCTAATCATCTACCTTCCTCTGAGCTTTGATTTCTTGTTAGAAAAGGTGATTGAGTCTTCTTAATCTATTTCACCCCCTCAGCCCTTGCTCTTCATTCTTCATATAACCCAAGTGTAGCTGTTGAGAAATGACAAGGTTTCTGAGGTAGAGTAACAGTGAGGTTTACAGCCCCACACAGAGTTGGAACATACGATGATGATATTATTGGGTCCATTGCTAAGCAAATGAATAAAATAATCTGTAGCTTAAAGCTAAATTAAAGGAAGCAAATAGACAAAAATGTTCATGAAGGTTTTAGAGTAAAATAGTAAGGCAGTAAGGTAGGGTGGGAAACGAAGTTTGAGAGCCAGACAAAACTTAAGTCAAGTTTTTGCCTGAATTTGGGGCCTTTTTCTTATATTATGTTTTGTTGGTTAAGAAAAGTTTTAAAAAGTAGATCGAAAGAAAAATAGTATTTGGCCTCCATAAAAGTTTTTTCAGCAGAAAAGCTCAAATAACAAAGAGAATAAAAATAGTCTTACTATAGTAGAAATATTTTTTAAAAGCTTCAGTCACAGACATTTAAAAAATACAATTAAGTTAATCACATCAATTGAACACTAATGAAACTTATTATTGGGAGGTTAAGGGGGGAGTGTTGGGTCCTAGTGTGAAAAGTAGAGAAAAAGGCAAAAATATGATTCAGTTTATGCCTTGCTTGACTAAGGTGTGGAGGGCAGACCAAGCACTCCCAGAGGCTACTTAAATGAGAATAGACAGTGAATGATGGCTCAGACTCAAAACAGCAGTTGTCTGGGCCAGCTGCTCAGGACTGGGTCAGGCAAAGTGAGGGCTGACATTAACTCAAGTGAAGAGAGAAGCAGGGAGCAGACCTCAGCTCAGGTAGTGAGATGTCAGAGGGAGTTACAGACAAGGGGAGAGGGGAACAAACAGCCACTGGTCAACGAACCATACCAGGAGCAAGAGCAACTGAAGATAATTCTCATGATTCCTAATTTGGACCTGCTTTTTCTCCTTTTTAACTTAGAAAAATTACAGGAAAGGTAACTTAAAATTTTACACAAATTTAAGAACTGTATTAGAAATAGGGCTCATAACTGGGCCATCCATCCTTTCAATCTGCCTTAATGAAGGTAAAGACAAAAGAAATGAATGAGAATGGGAGTAGGAAGGAGAGGCATTTTTGAGAGTCTCACTGTAGTAGAATGTTCTAGTTTTATTTAAATATTGGTGTAATTCTGTTAATTCTTAAAAGGCCCAGTTCAGCTATCACTTTTTTTATGAAGCCTTTCCTGATCGCCCTTCCTCCAAACTTCCTCCTTCCGGAATCTGTGTTCTTAGGATCTCTCTATACTTGTAAATACAATAATATCACAATGACTTATCAGTCTTCCCAAATATACCATACATATCTTGAGGTCAGGAACTATCTATACTATCTAGCAATAGGTGAATGCTGTTTCAATTCACTGATTTGAACTGACATAAATCTTTACAAAAATCTCAGATGGAGAACCTATCTGTACACAGCAATAAGAGCAAACAGTCTTTAAAACACTACACTTTTGAATCAGGGCCACATAAATTCTGAGAGCCAGCAAATATCTGAGATAGCTGATTGCCTATTTCCCAGATTATTATTCCCCATAGAAACATTACTTTTACCTATTTTAAAACAGTCAATGCTCTCTACATTTTAAGTAAACTCCCTAAATGTATTTTTAAGGTGAACTAAAATACTTTAAGAATATCTTTGAAGGAAAAAAAAATGAAACCAAAATTAGTGCTTATTAAAAGACAAACCAACCTAATCCCAACATAAACAACCATTTTCCTATTTCCCTTGACACATGGAAAAACTGTATAATCACAGGATTACAATCACAAAAACACTGAGTTTCATCAGAGTTTTCCAATGCATTTAGGCTTATTTCCCAAGGTTTTTTTGGTTTTGTTTTGTTTTGTTTTGGTCTTAAATTAAGCTATGTTCCTCCTCTCATTATTTGTCCAAAACATGATTTCCCACAGGTTCTTCTTCCCTATGCAAAAATACTTTGCATTTTAAGTGATAGCCAGATACTTTCAAAGATGCTAATTTTCAAATTTCAAAGTTTTAGGGCTCAGGATTAGTATTTCTATATTTTTTTCTTATTGCTTGCTTTTAAAAGTAAATTATATGTTTGATATATTGACATATATGTGATTTGAAAAAATTCAGAGTAATTTATAACATTTGATTATATAAATTCAATGTAAAAGTTCATTGCAAAACCTTTCAAATCTTCCAAAACCTTCCCAAGTTAATTGCAAAACTTTCCAGAGCTGTGGAAAGTAGGATAAACACCTGATTTATGTGAACTGTTGATTTATGTGATTTATGTGAGTTTAAAAACTCACATGACCAAGACTTTCCAATGATTATGAGCATGGAGAAATTATTTAACTTCTCTGTGCTTTATTTTGATATAAGGACTATTATAAAGATAAATAAAATATATATGTAATTGAAAAATTATTCATAAAGTACCTTATAAATCTTAGTAGCATTAGGGAAGTATATTATATTATATGATTCTGAATGAACAGCATATTTAAACCACCAACTAACCACAGATGCACAAGTATCAAAACCAAATCCACTTCTCTATGAATGAGCTACAATGAAAACAATAAAGATAAATGTTCCTTAACATTTCCAGTACCACCTGTTTCTGAATATGGCATATCAGAAACTCTGAATGAACCTCCTGGCTCTAATAACCAAATTGCTTTAAAAGAATTTAAAGTATTTTTTTCAGAAACATCCCAGAGCCAACACCAATAACAGAAGCTGCAAAGTCTCCCAAATAATGTGAAACCAGGAACTATGACAAATAAGCAGCTCCAAAGCTGACTTCTACTCTAAGGTTTTCTGGTAAATCCTGCAGACACTGATTTTCTATTCTGTTAACTTCACAGGAGGCGATGAAGCTCAGGGCTCACAGAAATGATGAATCTATTTAATAGAAGACAATTCACATAAAGCTGAGATCACCAAGGGTCACCAGCAGTCAAAGTGTGAATTAGAAACAGCCCTTCTGGGGAGCTCTGTGGTGATAGGACAGTTCTGTATCTTGATTTTTGTGATGGTGGTTACATGATCTACACGTGACAAAATTACATAGAGCACTATAAATAATCGCACAAATAAATGCATGTAAAGCTGGCAGAATCTGAATACAACTGTGTATTGATTGTACTGATGTCAACTTCCTTGATATTATACTATAGTTATACAAGAATTTTCCACTGAGGGAAACTGGGTGAAGTGCACACAGGACCTCTCTCTCTATTTTTTTGGAATTCTTTATGATTCTACATCTCAAATTTTTTTTTTAAGAAACAGTCTTCCTCACACTCGGGTAGGAAGGGACAAGGTAATTTATCAACTTACCTGTTTTTACCTTACTAATAGGCAAAGAGGCAAAAAAAAAAAACAAAACCCAAAACAAACAAATCAAAAAACAAGAAGTTTCCACTGAGGGAAACTGGGTGAAGTGCACACAGGACTTCTCTATTTTTTTGTAATTCTTTATGACTCTATATTTCAAAATTTTTTTTAAGAAACAGTCTTCCTCATGCTCAGGTAGAAAGGGACAAGGTAATTTATCAACTTACCTGTCTTTACCTTACTAATGGGTGAAGAGGCAAAAAAACAAAACAAACAAATAAAAAACCCAACAAAACCCAAACCAAAAAACAATGCTCCAAGATTTTGCAATCATGAGCCTGCATTTGGAAGTTTGAGTCTCAAATAGGGAGAATCTTGCTCCAGGTTGATAGTTGCTGCCAGATGACAGGCAAAGGCAAAAGTAAAAGCACATTCTCTTGGGATGAAATCAATTTCAACTCAAAGCACTTCCACAGATCAGGTTCCAAGTGAAATGAGATGCTCACAGACAAAATTCACAATGCACATAAGAGCAGAAGCAATGGACAGACTAGCAGACATAAAATATAAAATAATTATTTAAAAAGTAAAAAACATCTTCAAAATATGAGCAGGGAACAAGATTTTAATAAGAACCATGTAGAACTACAAATAAGAAAAAAAAAAAAAAAACTCAAGCAGATTAAGCCCACCTAAAGTGATAGTGAATTAAAAGAAAGATCCAATAAAATATGGAATGTAATCAATCCAAAGAGGCAAAGAAATACTATAAATGAAAGAAGGTTAAGATTCAGGAAGAATAGAGAGAGAAAGTCTAAAAAATCCTTAATTAAATATCGAGGGACATAATACACAGAACAAGAAGGAGGCATCATTTGAAGAGATAACATCTGAAAATTATTCTACAATTATTGAAAAATACCAAGCCCTAAATCCAGGCAGCCCAAAGTATCCCAAGACCTAAACATAAGGAAGACATTGGTAAATATATGAGTAAGTCTAAACCAATATTAGTTTAAATTAATAATAATGATGATGTCTAAACTGTGATGAGAAAACAGGCCAAAAATAAGACACTGGAAAATAACAGTATACAAATAAGGAGACCAGGTAATTTGAGATAAAATGTTCT